CTTCTCTGATCTCCTATCTTTGGTGGTATTTAAGTGAAGGAAGAAATGCTCCCTCTAATTTCTCTCTAGCCCATTATAACCTGCTATTTTGGGGCAGCTTTTGATGTGTGACATGTCACCCTTCCCAACTTGATCGCCTATAACACTGCTGTCTTCTTACGGAGCCCTCACCACAATCCCGACTCTGGTCATTTGTGCCTTTCTCTTGTCATCTCTGTACACTACTTAATATTCACTGTGGGTTGGGGGGAGCTCATTTTAAGCATGTTCAGTGGCAGCTCCCTGCCAGTTTCAGTGTCACTGTTAAAATTTATCCAAAAGCAACTTCACTGGGGGTTTTCTTAAAGGGTAAAGGCCTTTTACTGAAGCTAACCCTTCCCCACATGTGGTAGAATGTGCTGTTCTATATCTACTCAATAAAGCATGTTCTCTGCTTACGTCTGTTTCACCCAGGAGCTCTTATTACGAAATGGTGCAGCTCACCTGCTACTAATAGGAAATGCACTTGGGGTCTGTTTTCGCTAACGGTAAACTATCGAGGGGTGTGGTTTGTGGCTGTGGGATATCTTTTCTCTGTGATGCAGCCGATCTGCAGAGGGTGTGCTTGCTCTGAACTTGTCCAGGTGGTGGAATAAATTCTCTGCCTTACTTTGGTTCCAACTAATAGGTATGTGTAGCAAGGACTAGTCAGTATTAGTCATTTTTTCATTAGCTCATTTTCCTCTGATTTCAAGGGCAAATGAATCAGTAGGAAGTTAGGATAGATGGGCTACAATTAATTGATGTTTGTGGGAAGGTGCGAAGAGGTGTCTCCCTTCTCATCTCCAGCTCATTAGCCAATAGTGAGCTGTATCACCTCTAATCATTGACTCTCTCGGGTTGCATGATTCCTGAAAGTAGCTCTATTTTCCTACAGCGTTTACCCAGTGCAGGGGAAGGGAGGTTGGGCACTTATCTCTATGATGGAAAGGAGGAGGGTGGGGTTTGTATTTGCTGGGGTGGTTTTGCTCACCATGGCCAGTAGTGGTGAGAACCCATCCCTGCGGGCAGCTAAGGGTCCTCCTTTGCAAAATTAAGAGTCCTGTGTGCCACTTAAGAGGGGTGGAGGGTCACACAAAGAGAAGCCTAAATAAAATGACGCTTAACATTTTTCTTAGTGTATGATGTGTGCCCAAATCTCACTGTTCTAGATATTTGCATCAAAGGGAAATTATGCTTTCACATTTTGAGACAATTGAAGTAGGTAATATTGACCATGGGAATAGAATGGTGAGAGGTCAAGGCACTTGAAGCTTTGTGCACAGTCCGGGTCCCCAACCTCTACTGATTGCCACCCCCCTTTCTTTACATAAGGATACAGTACGTTCTCACTTAACATTATCAATAGGTTCTGTGCCTTTAAGTGAAGTGATGTTAACAAAACCAGTTGTACCATAGCTAATTGATCTAAACAGAGTTAAGTTCCTGCCGCATCTCGTCAACTTACAACAAAATGACATTGAACGAAATGGTGTTATTCGAGGACCTACTGTAAAAGGATTTCTCTGGTTTAAATCACAAGTATAAGAACAGTGTTAAACTTTCTTGTCAACTTGTAGGAAAACCGTCTATCCCCTCTGACTCCTTTTTTATCTGCACGAAAGAATCTCAGCTGCTTAGGCTCCTTCGTTAGAAGAGCAAGTCTGGCGTTATTGCTGGATCTGGCTCCTGACCAATCCTCTCCTAGTTAGATTTCCTTGCTTTAGCCACCGGCTCCCATGCTTCTAGTGGCTTCCACTGCAGGAAAAATAATGGAACTGGTGAAAACTCTTGGACAAAGGATGTTAGTTGATTCTATAAGCAGCAGGTGGGGGCCAGAGACCTAACCCAGGAAGTAACAGCTGTGCCCGTTCTGGCTCTGCTGCTGATTTAGGAATAAACTGTCTAGTAAGCCCTCCCTTTACGTGGTTTCCTTCAGTCCTCACACAACATCACTGCAAGGTGGGTATTCTGTCCCTTTTCCACGTGAGAAAATTGCAGCTCAGGTCTTGCTGCTGAGATGCAGGAACAGAATGAGAGCCCTGCTTCTCAGATTCCAAGTTCCATACTTGACAGTGCTGTCTGGTAGCCTCTGTTCCTGGCTTCCCATTTCCCATCAGGGAATAGAGTCATTTAATTTTTAACATGGTGTGCCCTTGATATAGCAAGATGATGCTTTGACTTGTCCTCAGCTTTGGTTTATCCCTTTCGTTCTGGGCAGGCCTAGCTGGGGTTAGGAATGCCCTCAAATGAAGTTCAAGGTCAAGATTGAAACTATATATGAAAAGCCAGTATAGGAAAATAGACTACAGCTTGCTTACAGTACACATTCCTCCTGGAATATGAAACAAGTGAGAAGTGGCTTTTTGGATCTAAGTGACTTTCAGGGTGGTCCTAAACACGCCTGCCTGTCTTTGAAGAGCACGTGAGAAGCCAAATGACATTAAAGAGACTTTGTTTATGAGAGGTGCTAAGATCAAGCACCTCAGCTCAGCAGTGATCCTTGCTTTTGAAAATGTAAGTATTGAGTCTTTTTTAAAGTTCACATAATGAAACTGCACACATTCATGTATAGCTGAAAAATTGAGCCCTTGAAGTCCATTCCTGGACGGGGGTTAGGAAATAAAGTACTCTGGTTTGAGAAAGCAGGGATCCGGCTTCTGCCTGCCTTCACAAACTGAAAGACACAGCTAGTTCTTGGTGTGTGCAGGCTCAGGTAACCCATTCCGTGAGGGAAAATGACAAGTAGGGAGAGGTCTGGCTCGCTGGCTTTGAACATTCGTTTCCTACAGCCTCGCAGGTGCACATATGTACAAAACTGTACCGGGGTTTTGCTTGTTAATGAAAACTAAATGTGATGTGTGCTAGGAATTCTAGAATTTTAGAAACCGTTTTAGCTCTGCATTGGGATCAGGCAATGACAGATGGGTCTCCACTGGTTTTACCTCAGCACCTTTTGATACAGATTTGTGTGACATCCTCTTTCAGACTGCTTCCTAGTGTTGGGGGCAGTATAATTGCCTCCTTCCTTTGTGGCATCTTCAGCGAATACCAATAAATGTTACTAAGGAAGAAACACAGGACTGTCCAGTGATGAAGTGTCCCTGGTGCTGAAATACCTTGCGTCTTGTGCAATACTTTAGGTGCAGGTCATGCCACCACTGCTTCGGGGCTTGGGGGTTTGTTTATTTGTGCCCAAGAGGAGAAAATAACCTGTGCCATTGCACAACTTTGGCTCCATTGCCCTCAGATGATCTGTGTGAGATATAAACACCTTTGTTCTTGACAAACCATGTTCATTCCAAGAAATTCGTCTTAACTGGGTATTTGTTTCTGGGAAGAGCTCACTTTATATTTACTCCGTTCCGATGTTATTAGAAACCTACACTCATCTCACAAAGGAGGTGCAGCACATCACCTCCAGAGATGGCCAGTGTGTCCCGTCTCCTGTGTGGGCTGGACTTCTGACTCATTAAATGTGGCAGAATAGCCCTAGCTGGTTTGGCTCAGTGGATACAACATCAGTCTGTGAACTGAAGGGTCCCAGGTCCCAATCCAGTCAAGGGCACATGTCTGGGTTGCGGGCTCCTGAGGGGGGGTGGGTAGAGGGGGAGGCAGCCAATCAGTGATTCTCATCGTGGATGTTTCTCTCCCTCTCTAAAATCAATAAAAACATTTTTTTTTAAATGTGGCAGAATAATATTCTGGCAGCTTCCACTTTTGCTCTTGGAAACCAGCTGACATATTCCCAAACCGGAAGCTTGAGTTGAACTGAATGCTTTGTGAGGGACTAAATAAGAGAGACCACTTGTAGAACTGAATGCTACAGCACCAAAAATTCAAATGACATCCTCCCAGCTGAACACAGCCTCCCCTGCTGATACCTTATGGTACAGAAACATCCAGCTGAGTCCTGCCAACCTAGAGAATTGTGAGAAACGCTGTTTTAAGCCATTAATGGTCTTCTGATGGTTTGATAACAGCAGTAGGTAAGTCAAAGAAGAGGACTGTTGAAACTAAAGGGCTGGGACTCGGTTTGGCCTTGTCAGTTCCATTAACTGCCTTCCTGTGATTGGAAGCCAGATGTGCCCAGAAAAGGGACACCACCTTGCGTAACTCCGGGGGACACTATTCATATTCCATTTAATGGCCCTCAGAGCCACTACAACCCCTTTGTTCATTCAGCACATCTCAGCGTGTCAGTCAAATTGCTTCTGAGCCCCCTGCCTGGCCTTGGAATTCCTGGCTACCTCCTTGTGGAAGTGGATCAGGAAAAGTGACTGTTCTACTATCAAGACGGGGCTCGTCACTTTCCTGCTCAAGAATTGACCTGGCTTCCCATTGCTCATTGGATTAAGTTCTCATTCTGGCTTTCAGGTTTTCCCCTGAGCTGGCTCAATCTAACTTGTTCATCATTCCCCTACACACAGACTCACTGCGCAACCGGATTAGTCTCCAGCCCCTTTCCTGCTTCTGCTGGGAAAGCCTCCAGCATCCCCGGAAGTGTGTCCATTAGACACAAAGTAGTACTATCGGCAAAAGGGATACTTGGAATCACCGAGTTGAAGTTGGATATCAGTATGTTCCTTGTCTCCATGGTTTTTCAAAGCCTCCCTCTTGGGGTTTCCATGAGGAAGAGACAGAATGTAACATTTCCTGGAGTGATCTGATCTGGAAGGAGCCTTTTTTTTTTTTAAATGATGAGTGTTTTTTTATTGAGGTAAAATTCACATAACATACAATTAACCATTTTAAAGTGAACAATTCAGTAGCATTTAGTACATCCCAATGTTGTCCAAGTTTGGCCTCTATCTAGTTCCCAAACATTTTCCTCACTCCCAGGGGGGACCCATACTCTTGAATGGGTGTGGAGTTTCCTCTTGGGATATACTTTCTTTTTAAAAAATATTTTTTTATTGATTTCAGAGAGGGAGAGAGAGACATCAATGATGAGAGAAAATCATTGAGCGGCTGCCTCCTGCACACCCCCTACTGGGGATTGAGCCTGCAACCAGGGCATGTGCCCTGGAAGGAGCCTCTTGAGAGACCAGAATGCTGGGGTTGGGTGTGGGGGTGGGTGGGGGCAGACTTTTGGAACTTAACCTACCTAATCAACCAACTGAGCCACACCGGCCAGGGCTCATCTTCCCTTCCTTTTAGATAGCTTAGTGCCACCCTGTCCCCCCAAGAATCAGATCCCCTAAAACATCACCCAGTTCCTTCTTTTTGGAGAGGGACACAGAGATGGTCAATGTTATGTAGCCTAGTGAATTGATGAACCTCCTTTACTGCTGAACCCACAGAGCTCCCAACTCATTCAACACCTTGATGTTTATTACCTAAGTGTGCCCTCTAGGAGCTTACTTTGGTTGATAGGCCCCTTTCTAAGCATCCTGGGGTCCTCTGTGTCTCACCTGCCTATAAACCACTGGGCAGGGACAATGGTCTCCCCATCAGACTGGGGCTCCCTGAGCGGGGGAGTGTTTCACTCCTCTGGAGCTCGTTTGAATGCCCAGGGAATGACTGAGTGCCTGTGTCCCCATAGCCCAGCAGTTACCTTGTAGAGACAAGAGAATGGATGAAGGACCGGGGATCCAGTTCTCTAACTCAGAAGACACATGGATTTGGGTCCTTGAGATCATGACTGAGTCGGGAGAGTGTGTCTGCGTTCAGGCTGGGGCTGTTGCCCTTACTTGTGTGGCAAACCTGTTTTCCCGTTCAAGGGTGGGGACCAGGCTGTTAGTATTGCCCTTCGCAATTCTGGGGAAGGCCTCCTGGCCTGCTGATGTGACAGACTGCTGGGCATGGTGCAGAGCCCAGGCCACTTCTGCCTTCTGCCCTGTACTAGAGAAGAAGCCATCACTGTTCATTCATTTATTGAGCCCCTACTATGTTCTGGGCACAGGAGATAGAGAAGGGGGGGTGGGGGCAGACTCATCCTGCTACGCAATGAAATAAGAGTCTGAGGGAGGACAAGGTGACTCCAGCATGAGACTGACAACAGTGCCCATTTATGCACGACCGCTTCCTGAGCCCGAGAGTCCTGGAAGGAGCCCCACGGTGTTCACTGCGAGCCTCGTGGGACATGCCGGTGTTGAGCACAGGACAGACACACAGAGAAGAGAGCTGGCCTGGCCGGCTGGTCAGCTGTAGCGTCCAGGTATGGAGAAGGGTTTTCATCCTCTGGGAAGCATGGGATGGGGGCTCTCACTCTGGCCCCTGGTCCTCATCCTCTGCCTGGGAAGAGTTTTGTACATGGACAGTGGTTAAGGGAGGGTTGTCTGGCTCCTCCACTCTTGGAGCCTTCGCTAGTCACTCCACACAAGGCCCTCGATTTGCCTAATTCATGTTTCTGGCTATAGATATCTAGGGTGACCCAATTACAGACTCACCTGCCATATCTTCTGTTATTCAGTCGTATGTGCCTCAAGAGCATGGACAGAGCCAACCCTCAGTTATCCTCGTAAAGGAAGGGAAGTGGTAAGCCAGGACTTAAAATCCCAAAGGCCCTCCTGGGGGTATGGAAAGTGCCTTGGTCAGGGAAACAGGAGACAGCTTTTAGTTCTGGCTGTTACCAGCTCACTGAAAGGTGACTTAGCATTCCTGCCCACATTCTGCGTGAGGGACATTCATTTCCATGTTAGTATTGGGGTGACGCCCATGGCCCTTCAAATGGAATGGCTTCAACACTTAGAAAAAAATCTTGGAGGAAAATAGAAGATTTCCCCCATCTTTATAGCCCAGAGCCTATGTTGGAAGGAGTAGGTGTTCTGTTAGGAAAGTGAGAGACCTGCTACCTGACTGTGGGAGGGTTTCCACTCGAGGGACCCCAGCCATGGGACCCAGGAGAACAGTGTGCCAAGGGCAGCATCATGCCCAGGCCAGGGAGACTAGCTCTGTCTGGGTAGGGCAGGTGGTCAGGAAAGGAGAGATGGGGCTAGAAGTTAAGTCAGCGAGGGCAGCCCCGAAGGATGTGGGTGAGTCCTTAGGGCATTGGTCTTGATCCTGAGAGCACTGGGGGTGAGGGGTGGGAAGGTAGAGGGTGGGTAAATGATGGTTGTTTTCTTTTGGTTTTGTTTTTCCTTTTCACCAAAGAGTTCTAGGCTGCTCCGATTTGCACTTTTAAGATCCTTGAGGGTGCAAGGTGGGGAATTGATTAGTTTTTCCAATTCTAGGCTTTAGGTAAAAATTCCCCAAGGCAATTTTGAACCTTTGGCAAAACCGAGTTCATCCCGGCTTCCTTATCCCTGCACCTACTCCCTAGGCACGCACAGACCACCAGGTCTGAGGAAACAACCAGGGAGCCGAGCATGTGGCCAAACCACGGCTGGCCCCACCCTTGGCGATGCCAGCCTGGCATGTGTGCCCCTGGCCAGAGATCCTCCCCCACCTCCCTGACTTGTTAGAGGCCAGGATGACTCAACCCTCCCCAGGGAGCACGTTGAGGGCAAGGTCTGGCCAACACTCACCCAGTTTTCTCTTTGGTTGGATAGGAGGTATTCCTGGAAAAAAGGAAAGAAGGAATGAGGGCTGCACCGCTTCCCTGGGGGCTGGGTGAGGTGGGAAGGGCTCATGGCTCTTTGGGGCTCAGTGCCTGTGTTGGGTCTTCAGTGGAACTGCAGACACTCCCCACCGTCCTCGTGTGGCCAAGCTGCTTGGCTGCCTTCGGGGAGGCAGAGTGGAGGAGTGTGAAGTCATTGGCACCTGGCACCGCCTGGGCATCTGTGCAAAAACATTGAACTTATCTGAACCTTAGTTTCCTCATTCATCTGAAGGGACTATTGTGAGATTTAATCACATGTGAGCATAGTAGGTGCTCAATAAATATTTCTCTTATACTCCCATCCCCTGCTTCCCATGGGTTGTTGGATTTGGAAGGTCTAAAATGGTCTAAGGACCAGTGCCCTAAGGACTCACCCACATCCTTCGGGGCTGCCCTCGCTGACTTAACTTCTAGCCCCATCTCTCCTTTCCTGACCACCTGCCCTACCCAGACAGAGCTAGTCTCCCTGGCCTGGGCATGATGCTGCCCTTGGCACACCACACTGTTCTCCTGGGTCCCATGGCTGGGGTCCCTCGAGTGGAAACCCTCCCACAGTCAGGTAGCAGGTCTCTCACTTTCCTAACAGAACACCTACTCCTTCCAACATAGGCTCTTGCTATAAATGGTCTAAAACTGAAAGGGTCTAAAACTCATTTTGTCGAGGAGGAAACTAAGGCCAAAAGTGTTTGGTAACAAGTTGGTTTTCTCTATTTTTATATTTTTTATTATAAAAGCAGTCTTTGAATACTTGCCCACTATAAAAAGAATTATGTAATGGAGAGGCTTGTACAGTAAAAATTAAAGTCCCTCTCTACTCTCTCTCCCTCATCTCCACTTCCTGTCCTAGATATATATCATTACTGTTGACAATTTGATAATCATCCTCCTAGAATGTTCCCTATGCATGTGTATGTATGTTTGTGAGTATGTCATTTTTTAAAAAACAAGTAGATTCCTGTGATACATGTTGTTATATAACTTGCTTTTTCCACTTACCCAGTATCTTGGAGAACTTTCTGTAACTTTCCACAGATCTGCCTCATCCTTTTCAATGGCCACAAAGGCTATATATGGATGTGCCTAATATATTTTGACCAGGAAGCTAGGGTTCTGGCTCAGGAAATCTGGCTCCAGAGGATGCAAAGGATTTGCCTCTACCCTTAGGGTGACTATATTCTCCTACTGAAGGCTTTTATGTTATTTCTAAATTCTTGCCATTGCAGACATGTTGTCAATGAATGCTCAGGTACAACCTCAGGGCTACGTATTTCTACTTGATAGATTCCCTGATGCGCATTCCAACTTTGAGGACTATTGTCAACATTTCCTCTAAATCAGTGGTTCTCAACCTTCCTAATGCCACGACCCTTTAATACAGTTCCTCATGTTGTGGTGACCCCCAATTTCATTGTTACAAATTGAACATAATTAAAGCATAGTGATTAATCACAAAAACAATATGTAATTATATAGGTGTATGTGTTTTCCAATGGTCTTAGGTGACCCCTGTGAAAGGGTCATTCGACCTCCCCAAAGGGGTCGAGACCCACAGGTTGAGAACCGCTGCTCTAAATAGACAGGTTATAAAAGTGCTAGGTCTTTCATACCCTCACCAATATACATATAATGTTAACAATAAGAAAAAAAACTGCTCTCTGTACAGACTAATATCCTTGTCCCCCCAGGACATGACTCCCACATTGAGGGCCCTCTCAGGGAACAGGTTCATTTTAATAACTCTATTGGAGCCCGGCCAGCGTGGCTCAGTGGTTGAGCATCAACCTATGAACCAGGAGGCCACGGTTCAATTCCCGGTCAGGGCATATGCCAGGGTTGCTGGCTCGATCCCCAGCATGGGGTGTGTAAGAGGCACCCGATCAATGGTTCTCTCTCATCATTGATGTTTCTATCTCTCTATCCCTCTCCCTTCCTCTCTGAAAACAATAAAAATATATTTTAAAAATTAATTCTATCGGAAACAAATAGAACTAGAAAGCTTGGACTGTGGCTTGGGTCACATCTACTTGCTGATCTGTAGCTCCAAATCCATCCACAGTATCAAAGGTAATGATACCAGAGGGTGCAAAACATTGACTTCTACTCTTAGGGTGCCTACATTCCCATATGCCAGAGACATCCCAAGTTTACCTGGTGTAGTTAACACCTCTAGTGTCCTGGTTTGGATCATTTATGTGGACACTCTTCCCCACCCCATCGCATGAGCGACCCCTACTGGCCCAGAAGCTAGGAGCCGGCTTGGTGAAACGACCCACTCAGAATCACTCCTCCAGGGGCTGCCCACCTTTGTCACTCACCTCCCGCCTGCTTCCCCATCAGTGGAAAGAACTGGCTGGCTTTGTCCCTCTTTACCTCCTGAAGCTGGAGCTGAATGCTGGGGACAACACCTTCCTGAAAAGGCAGAGAGTTTGTTAGAGCGAGAGGAAGGCTGGCGGGGAGTCAGGGAGGGCAGCCTCAGCAATAACAGTTTCAGTGACATTTGCTCTGTGCTGGCCCGGGGCTCTTTTGCATGTATTACACAATGTTATGCAGTAATAATTTATAGTCAGCGTTTCACCTACTGTGTTCCTGGCTCTGTTCTAAGCACTTTAACATTAATTCTCTTTGATCCTCACCAAAACACCATGATGTAAGTACTATTATTGCACCATTTCATTTTTTAAAATATATTTTTATTGATTTCAGAGAGGAAGGGAGAGGGAGAGATAGAAACAACAATGATGAGAGAGAATCCTTGATCAGCTGCCTCCTGCATGCCCCATCCTGGGGATGGAGCCCGCAATCCGGGCATGTGTCCTGACCAGGAATTGAACCGTGACCTCCTGGTTCATAGATCGATGCTCAACCACTGAGCCATGCCAGCCGGGCGTTGTCACCATGTTACAGATGAAAGCGCAGAGAGATTAAATTATCTATCCAAGGTCACCAGCTAGGAAGTGAGAGCGGCTCCAGGACTTGAAGCCGTCACCTGCCTCAGAGGCTCAAACACAACAGCATAATTTCGTTTACTCTTCACAGCCACCATATGAAGTAGGGACTATGAGTTATTCCCATTTTGTAGATGGGAAACTGAGCGTTATGGAGGTTAAGTGATTTGTCCAAGATCACACAGGAAGTGGTAGAGCCAGGATTTAAACTCAGGCAGTCTGGCTCCAGAGCCTGGATTCTGCTCCACCTGGGGGCATGTCCCCAACATAGACAAGGAGGGGCCGCTGAGGGACTCAGGGTGAGCACCCCATAGGCAAGGTGAGACTGCTTCCCCTCCCAACCCCAACCTGGTCTCCTTTCTTCCTCGGGCAATCCCCCCCGCCCTCCCCTGCCCTGCCCTTGCCCCAGATTCACCCTGCCCTAGAGCCTGGGCCTCCCATGAGGAACGTGGCCTGTGGCCTGGAGTAGAAGCCACTACTTTGGGCAAAGACATTTTCTTGAGCTAATGCAGTGAAAGTTCTGGACCAGGGGCTATGGATTGAAGTCATTCCTCCATTAGCCTTGGCCAAATTCTCTCCTTCTGTGGCCCCTGCTAAGAGGGGGAGAGGCTCACTGGTGGGAGAGTGACAGTGGGTGACATTCATTAGACCTTCTTCATGTCTCTGCATCCCCGGTGCCTGGCACAGCGCCTGGCAGACAGAAGCTCAGCCCGTGTGGGTTAAAGAACACTGAACAAGGGCCTTTCTCTGACAGTGGGAAGAGGGAAGAGGATGGGGTCTCCTTTTCCAGGAAGGCTGAAGACAGGACGAGCGAGCAAAGTGATGAAGCACCTGCCAGGAGGCTGGGAGCCGGGGGAGCAGGGGGATGGGGGCTCCCTCTTCCATCCCCAGTTTCCCTAGGGGCAGCGCTGGCGCTCCAGGAACCAGCAGGGACCTGGCTGGGGTGCAGAAAACCCCTATTCCTCACATAGTTTGTTTCGTCCCAACTTTTAGGACCAGAAGTGGATTTTCTTCTAAGACGTGGACCAATTCAGTCCCTTCCCATCTGTCTCCTCCCCCGGACGTCAGTGGCTGGGGCAGCTTCTCTGCTGGAGTCGCCTGGCCTGGCCAGGAACCAGATAGTCTCTCGGGAGATTTGGAGCCATTTCTGGAAAGCTCATGAAAACCACTGTGCCCTGGTAAGAGGCGGCCATCGAATACAAGCTGGGGAGAAGGGCTATTTATAAACTAAATAATGCTCACCTTTCCCTCACCCACTGGGTTTCGGGAGGGGGGGGGTGGTTCCTAGGAGACATCCTTCTCTTTCACTCGGGAGGGACTCCTGCCCCCCTCTAAGCCCTCTCCTTATCCATTTAACCCAGTGGTCGGCAAACTGCGGCTCGCCAGCCACATGCGGCTCTTTGGCTCCTTGAGTGTAGCTCTTCCACAAAATACCGACTTCTGTGCACGGGCCATGAAGTTTCAATGGCACTGTACGTGCGCGCCCGCACGTGGTATTTTGTGGAAAAACCACACTCAAGGGGCCACAGAGCCCCATGTGGCTCGCGAGCCGAAGTTTGCCGACCACTGATTTAACCCAATCACCCTTGAAAACACTGAGGGAAAACTGCAGGCAGGGAGCCTGGGAGCTAGGGAGGGGATTGGATGGCCCCTGGCAGTGCCTCCATCCCTCCCTTCACCTCACTCGTCTTAATGGTTCCCGTATTCCAAGCCCTGTGTCTCGGGAAGCAGGGGGATGGGATGTAACTGAGAATAAAGGAGAAGAAGCAGGAGACCAGTTGCCCAGGAGGTGCTTGCAGGTGGAAAGTGAGCGGTACCAGTTGAAGTTGATGATGTTCCATGTGGCTGCATAGGGAGCCCCGTCACAGCGCGGCTGCCCTATGCCTGGGTCAGGTCCCCTGATGTTTGGCACAGACTCCGTAAAGCTTGAAAAATGCCGTGAGGGTCGGGGTATTTCCCCCCATCTTTCTGGCGAGGAAACTGATCTCCAGAGAGCAGCAGTGACCTTCCCAAGGTCACACGAAGTCCGTGGAGAAGCTGAGACTTGAACCCAGGCCTCCCCATCCTTTTGTTTTCTCAACGGCACACACTTCCACGCTCAGACAAACCAGGAAGGGAACCCACCACCAATGGCTGTCTCTTCGATGGCTGTTCCTGTGGCCCGTGTCCTCCCCATCCTGGGACTGGGAGGAGCCAGGCCTGGCCTTGTCCCACTGTCCATCCTCCTGGAAGCCTTCCCTGAGCACCAGTCCTGCCTTCAGGTCTGGTGGCCTCTCTCCCCATCTGCCTAGAAGCTCCCCAAGGTCAGGACCTTTGTCTCCCCTACCACATGGGGTGGGACACGGGTGCTAGGTCCCAAACCTCTTGATTTCTCCCCAGCGTTCGTCAGGGAATGAGAGTTCTACGTGTGAGACAAAACAGGGATCCTGCCCAAGTTGCTTCCTTTGAAATTCTGAAAATGTCCTCTGAGACCCAGACACATAGTCAGACCTTGGGCAAGGGGTGCAGCTGTGCTTTTGAAGGTGTGTGACCTTGGACAAACGACCTGACCTTTCTGTGTCCAAGTTTCCTTATCTATGAAATGGTACTTTCCCCATAATGGGTTAATGTTTATGAGGCATTTAGGACATATATGTCAAATAGGTGTTAAATAGTCAGTCTCCCCCCCCCCCCCCCCCCCGTGCCCCATAGGCATGTGTCCCTTTAGAGCTCAGTCAGGCCAGGGGCCATGGCCTTGAACCTACCTGCAGAGGGGAATCGGACCACCTGCCTTGCAGTGACAGCCTGCTCTCCCCTCAACCACAGATCACCCCCTGCCTTTCCCCAAAGTTACCTCCAGGGTCACGGTTACCAAAGACCCTGCTTCAGTGCCACCGGGTGCCAGTTTCTTGTTAGCTGCCGCAGTGCGGGCAGACAGCCCCGTCAGGAGAAGCAGTGCGAGGCGGAGCGGCATGGTGAGTGCGGCTCTGTGCTGGGACCCTCTGCGAGTCCCTCTCAGCCTGCAGGGCCTCCAGCAGGCCGGTCCTCCCTCTGGCTCCTTTGTAGGTGAGGGAGGCTCCACCTGTTCCTCGTCCTTCCAGCTACCCTGCTTCTTCCTCCAGCTTATCTGCCCTCCCAGGGACATTTCCTGTGACTCCCCTCCCTCCCAGCTGGAAAGGCCAATGATATCAGAGGAGGGACCAGCCCTCTTGCACCACCGCCCCCAGCACCTGATCCCAGGCTTAGCGCTCTGATGCAACAGCCGCCTCACCCTCGCCGTTGGCTGCTTTCCCTCTGGAGGCAGGTGCACAGGGGGCAGTGTGTGGGACCTGTGCTTCCAGCTTCCTGACTGCAAGCCCAGCGGCCTTGTCACCTTGGAAATGGGAGGGGAACTGGATGGCTCCTCCCTTCCAGGTGCTCTGCCCCGCCCTGAGAGAGCCCCCCCCCCAGAACTTAGCTAGTGTCCCACCACTGTCTCCCCACTTCCTCAGTGTTCCCTTCTGCCAATAGTCCCATGTGCACACAGGAACACAGGTCTTGCCCTGAGAGAAATAACACAGTGCTTAGCGAAATGAGGCTCCTCACAAGTGGGAACTGGGATTTGCCAGCGAAATGGCTTCCTGCTCGTGTCACCGGCTCTAAGCTACCTTCCCACTGTTGCCAAAGTGATCTTTCTAAAGCCCTACCCCCAGCTGTTTCTCCCTGCTCACGTACTTCCAATGTCTCCCATTGCCCTCGGCATAAAGTTCAAGTTCCCTAATATGGCACTCAAGGCCCTTCTTCACTTAGTTCTGCCCATCCATCCATCCATCCATCCATCCATGTAGAACAGTGGTTCTCAACCTTTGGCCCTTTAAAAACAGTTCCTCATGTTGTGACCCAACCATAAAATTATTTTCGTTGCTACTTCATAACTGTAATGTTGCTACTGTTATGAATCGTAATGTAAATATCTGATATGCAGGATGGTCTTAGGCGACCCCTGTGAAAGGGTCGTTTGACCACCAAAGGGGTCTCGACCCACAGGTTGAGAACCGCTGATTTAGAACAAGGGACCTGCGGTCAGAGAGACCTGAATTCCAGTCCTAGCTCCCCCACTAAGTAGCTGTGTGACCTTAGGCACATTACTTAGCCCCTTCAAACCTTAGAATCCTCATCTGTAAAACGAGATTAATAATAGCACTTATTTCCCAAGTTGTTCGAGGATGAAACGAGATAATGCATGTGAAGCACTTAGCACAGTGTGTGATGGTAAATATTTAATACCTGTTAACTATTATTACTGTTGTAATTATGGACACTGGGCGAGGCACTCGGCCACAGAAGAGGAATAAGCCGCCTTCTCTGTCCTACAGCATCTCACAGGCCAGGAGAGGGACCCTCTGGTTGGCAGCTAAGCTGTGTTCAGTTAGTGCTGGCATAGAGATGGGAGCCTTTGGCTGTTGCCTCTGCCTGGACCTCCCTTTCCACCTGGTGAACTCCCACCCATCCTTAAAGGTCCAGCTTATGGCCACCTCCTCAGTAGGGTTTTTCTGCCTCTATTCCTAACTCCTGCAAGGATTATTTGGCCCCTTTCCTGGGCTTTCCCAAGTAGCTCTGATTTGTATATACCTCGAAGCTCTCCTTCACTCCCAGGCTGTGTCCTGAGCAGAGGTAGGTGCCAAGAACAAGAATGGAGGCAAAACCAGCCCCTGCTCAGCTCACGGAGCTGCACAGCCTGGTGCCAGCCTGCAGGCCCCTGAAAGAAGGTGCTTTGCTCTATTTCTCCCAGAGGGCCAGCGGGTCTGCCAGATGGGGAGGTGATCATGCCAAGAGGTCTCTGAGAGTGGGCTGTCATACATGTGTACCTGGCACACAGTAGGTCCTTCCTTAAACATGCAGTCTTTCTGAGCTCAGGCCAGTGAAGGCAGCAATGAATAAGGGCAAGTGTGGAGGTCTGAGGGCGGATAACCATACACACACCTCCTTCCTCCCTTCCAGGAATTTCTTGGGTGGATCCCAAACCTGATGGCTGCATTTGCTAAAATGCAGACCCCCCCGGCCTGGCCCTACTCGGACACAGCCAGGCCTGGTCTGTGGGTCTGTCTCAACATTCCAGGTGACAGTCACTCCGCCTCCCATAGCACTTCCCAAAGGCAGCGCGCTTACTCCCTCACATTCCACTTGGATAGTTTTACTTTTCATCACCTTTATTTTACAGATGTGGACATGGGGCAGGCTGGGCTGGCTCTAGGTTACACTGAGAATTGGTGGCAGACTAGAGGCCCCAGTGGGCGGCTTCCCACCTCCCACTGAGGCCTCTGCCCACAGGAGCAAGCAACACAGGGCAGAGTAACAGCCTTAGTCTCTGCTGGGGGAGATGGCTACATGTCCAAACCGGTGACCTTTGCACCCAAGGAGCATCTCTGAGCCTGTTTCTCCATTTGCAAATTGGGGCCACCCTTCATTGGATGGTGGTCAAGATTTCATGAATTCTCACCCTTAAAGAACTCAGCACAGGGCACAGAGTATGTGCTCAATTAATCCTCACTTCATGCTTGTGATTATTTGACCTCTGGAACCCTGGGCCTCAGAGCCGGTTTCCTGGCCCTGCCAGCGCAGGAACCATCCCGCGTGGGGACAGGATGTGGTGGGTGCACAGCGGGGAGGTGGCAGGGGCCTTGGGGCAGAGGAAAGGGAGGCGGGAAGAGGGAGAGAAAATCCCAAAGATCCGGAAGGCCGGGAGGGACGCGAGGCCCGGGATGGAAACCGCGGCTATTTACGGCACTGCCCTGGGGCTGCGGTCTGGCTGGCGCTCGCAGCCCTGGCGTTGGAG